CTATCTAGTGCTCCATTGTGTGCAATAAAAGGAAATCACCAAAATGTTGGCAGTAAGTACATAAAGGAAAACTAGTTGACAATTGAAAGGATTTTATTGAGCAAAGAAGCATAATCTTTTATCTAAATAGAAACCATATCAACTTTTGAACAGCTTTTTACATAAAGAAAAATTCCATTTAACAGAATAGCTAATATACATTACCAATAAAAGTAAAACAACAACAACAAAAACCACACCAATCTTTTAAGATCTGCTTTGAGTTGGTGACCACACCTTAAACTGTCACAGTCTGATAATTAAATCATGGAAAATTTTCCAAATAGAAACTTTGGGGGGCTGGCAGGAAACTTTCCACTTGGCCCATAATTCTGCACATGCGTGTTCAGGAGAATTTAAAATTATGTGCTTCAAGACAAATACGTACTACTGCACTTATCCTTTAGAACCCAGGGTGCTCTACCACTGAGCAACATCCCTACGCCCCATTTCCTCCCCGGCCTGCTTAATCTTTTTGAAACAGGATCTAACTAAATTGTCCAGGCTGGGCTCAAACATGTGATCCTCCTATCCCAGCCTCTCCAGGAGCTGGGATTGATTACAGGTGTGTACCATCATATCAGAGGAGAAAACATTAAGTTCTTTCTACAGCAAAAATCTAACTGGCTACAAATTTGGAAGGGAATGGATGGCAAGAGCAGAAAGACAAAGTCCTTTCCAGGGAAATGGTCCACAGATCAAGGAAAGACTCCAAGCCCAGAGGCAAAAAGCCCAATCCAAACAAGGGTGGAGAAAAGCAGCTGCTGACCTCAGTGTGGACAGCTAAAGAACAATGGTGAAAGAGGGAAGAAGCAAGAGCATTTTTTTAAATTATTATTTTTGGTACTGGGATCAAACTCAGGACTTTTTCCCCTGGGAGGCAGGGGTGGTGCCACTGAGCTAAATCCCTGGTCCTGCAGAGCATTTATTATGCAGAAGATGATAAGGAGTGGAGGGAATATCTTATTAGAAAATAAACATACAGAAAATAATAAAACTTGTATATCCACCAACTTATCCAGTGTTAACACAGAGCTATATTTTCTTTAATACTTTCAAGTAATAAAACATCACCGGACTGGAGGTAGAGCTCAGTGGTAGAGCGCTTGCCTGGCATGAGTGATGCCATGGTTTTAATTCCTCTATGGCAAAAACAAGTTATATACACAGTGGAAAGCCTCCATCTATCCCTTCCAGGTATTCCTATGAATTTAGTATAAATCTTTGATATAAGATTTACTTATCTAGTGGGAAGAACTTATGGAGGAAAAAGCCCCAACCAAACTAAAAGAAGCAAGCAAAAATGGAGGCATAAAAATGTCATTAAAGAAAAAGTAGGTGAAGATTCTAAACAACAACAACAACAACAACAACAGAAAACAAGATGTATACTTTTTCTCATAGTCTAGCCTTTGTTTCCTTCCTCATTAGTGTTTGCTTCCAAAAGGCACTGTTTCTGAAAGAGAAAAATCAACCATCATTACACCATACATAAAAACTCAATCCCTGTGGATCTTAATTTCTAGTTGAAGTACAAGCATACAAAATAATCACTTTCAAATGAAATTACATTCACTTCAGACCTGTAAGTGCTATATGTTAGTTAAAGCCATTTATATTACCCTTCACAAATACAAACTATAGATGTTGGTACTCTCCTTCAGATAAAAGTATCTGATATTAACTTGTGTGTTAAAGTAGCTGATTATTACTTTTCAGCAATAAATTACAAAGGGTTTATGTTCTTATCACCAGAGCACTCCTATTTTGGCAGTTTACAATTAAACTATCAACAAAAATTCCTCCAGAGATGACATCATACTTAGATTTTAAAACACATTTTATCTGTAGGAAGAATAATTTAATGGCTTGAGTCAATATTAAATGGTACCTTCACCA